CTTTATACGCACAACCTGTGAGCCTACGTGTCCCTGAGCCCTAGGCGGATATTCTTATCCTTTGAGCTGGCTTCCCTGGCCTTCAGCGGGTCTCAATACCTCTTACGTGCTCCTCACGTGCTATAGACCTGACCCAGCCCCAACCAGGAGGGCTTGCCAATGACGGGTCTCTGGGAGGAGGCTTTCGGCCTCACCAGCCTGGGGATAAAACAAGTTCTTTGCCGCTGGCCTGTTTTGGCCGTTCGATAAGCTTCATAGTTGACAGAAGGTATTTTCTTCAAACAAAAAACGGGCCAGACCCATTGCTTCGTTTGGTCCATTATGGGTGCTGTTAAAAGAGTCGATAATGGCCCTTCAACCTTTCCCCCTCCTCCTTCTCCAGACAAACAGACCTTAGGTTGTTCACTCATCACTCTGTTGCCATTTCAACTCCGATTCAAGACGCAAGTCCATCTACCAGACTTCAGATATGCCGTCTAGAGCCAGAAACCCTGGAACTCCCTCCCCAGCAGCCGTCAAAAGTGGAAGCAAATGGCTCTTCCCCCGGGGGGGACGGCCCGAGGAATGTCCTAGACAGTGCTTTGGCCTGTTATCTCCACCCTGTTTCACGGTAAGCCTTCATGTGTTGGTATTGATCAGACTTAATTAGCGAAGGGCGAATCGATCAAGTGGGTCTCGGGGCTACTAGATGTCGTGGTTGAAGGACGAGAGTTTTCGTGTCGGCGCGCTGGCCGCATCTTTCACCAATGCTTAACGCTTTAGAACTGAACTTAGCAAGTGGGAGACAAAACGAAAGAAAACCCTCACCCCAGCCCTTGCATGGAAAGGACGCAAAATTGGTTCTAGCTATTTGAGATGACTGACAGGGTAGGTAGTTAGCTAGTACAAGTACCCTGAACTCAAAATCAGTCATCCCATGCTGTCCGCTGAAACGCCCACTAAATCCTTCCTTTCATTGCCTCTGGAATTATATGATTGGCTAATTCCTCCGAATAGACCACAGCCAACATTCCCGGTGCGGGCATATAAACGAAAGGCGATGCCCTCTCTTGATACCATATGTCTAATCTCACATCTAGTTCCTCCTCAGGCGAAGAATGTCGAGGTGCAGCGGGCGGCAAAGCCATCCGAAACGTGTCCCAAGGCGTAAGAGCATCGATAACGAGAGGTTATGTGGAGTGGTAGGAGGCGTAGCGGGAGATGCCAAGCGCCCTGAGGCAATGTCTTTTTATCCCACAAGTCCGACGGGCCTGCTATCGCCTCTTTCTTCGCACCCAGAACAGTTTTGTTTTGCACTAAACCTCCTAAACCCTGCTGCGAGTTCTTCTTGGAGTTGGGTGAGTCCCCAACAACATTTCCGGGTTTTGGAATGGCCAGCGGTGGGAGGGTGCTTAGTTTAGCCGATCTTGCCGCCATTTGGGGTCCGACAGGCGAGTTTCCGCCGTAGCCCGTGATAATACCGATACGAAGTGAAGTTTTGATTACTATTTTACGAGTAGGAAGGAGAGCAGAATTGGGACTCCAGAGCTGAGGGTATCAGGAGCGGCTTAGTCGGGAAGGGGGAATGTCGCTTTCTTTCGACAAGACTAGATTGGATAGGTGGTTTGGGGAGTAATCTTGCCTTGGTGAAGGGATACATATGGGCTTAAATTGCGATCTAACGAGTGTAACTTGCCATGATCGGGATCCCGAATAATGAGGTCAGGGACACGTGTGGCGTGTGCGTGAGATTGTTGACACACAAACTATCCGATTGTTGCCAAATCCTTCATCCTAAACACAACCGTAGAGCGCACGACCCTCAGCGAGGCGGCCAAAACAGGCCAGCAGCCAACGGCAAAGAAGTCGCGTTGCATCATCTGATTATGTTTACCCAGCACCGCCTCTGGGCGTGCCAAGCGATTTTGTTGGGCCGAGACCTTGGTCGACACCTAGGCCTCAAACAGACCACTAGACCGCTGGAAGACCGAGGCCTTGCCATGCCGGCCTACTAGAACAAGGGACCGTCGTCTATTCTTGTCCGCCCCTGATTGGCGGGAAGCAGTGAAATTCTAAAAATACGCCCTGTTTTGAAATACCTTCCATTTTAAAATACGCTATGCCTTGAAATACGCTACCTGGCAAGTCGGGAAGTAGAGCTGAACATGGCCCTCCGGGGGCGCATTCGGAGGATCAGCGAACACGAACTCGTTCTCCCTCCAAGTACTCGGCAGATAAGAGAGCAATGTAATAATTTCTCTTTGGGACCGAAGTAGTCGACGAAGCAGCAACCGGCGCATTTCTGAACGTGGCAGACTGGTTAGGATGGCGTCAAACTAATCTACAGCGTTTCGCTGACTGGGCTAGCAACACTACCTTAAGTTAGAATAAGCTGCATTCAGCCTTTCGCGAAATGTGAGAGAGTGCTGCTTAAGAAATAGAAGTTAATTAGGAGACAATCAAGCCTAGTGCTTTTATTCAAGTTCCTCTTATTTATTTCTATTTATGCGAAATGATATATTCTAAAATTATTACTTTATCTTCCGGAATGCTTTTGTCTTTGTGTTTGCTTCTGCCTATTTTCAAAGCTTCTATAAGATCCGCCTCCAAGCCTTCGAGCTTCACTTCACCGCTCTGATAGCATTTGTCGCGTAACTTTTCGTCACTCTCGCCCAAGTCACGGTATGAGTGCTGAGCCCGTACCCTGAACGGATTTCTAACCTCTGAACTCGGTTCTAGACTGGTATCACGCCACCCAGAGGTATTCTTGAGAGCTGACTGTCTAAGCACTCTGAGCAGCTTCTAATCACCATTATGTCAGCCATATAACCAAGGATTTTGAAAGACGACTCCAACGTTCCCGTTCTTATTCCTCTGTCCAAAACCAAACGTATCACAACATACCTCCAGAGTATAACATCCCCTTATAGAATAGTAGGTATAGAATGGGTGTTTCTCCTCCGAGTCGTCATGCCAAGTCAATTTAACATCCAAGCTTTCATTCTCCAACACACTTTTCTTATCTTTCTTGGTGGGCAGTTCGTTGGGAGTCCTAAGAGTGCTGAGGTTTTTGGGTATTATGCTGGCTGCGGTAGACGATTCGAGTGGAGAAATTTTGGCGGCTTTGGATGCCATAATTATTTGCAAGTATTAATGCTGCTGGGACAACCGAAGTTATATGAAGGTGTCTGGACTGAATGTAAACCTAATATGCAGTCAATTATTAGGTCATTAAGCGGATAACCGGCGTGCAGAAGCAGTACCAACTGCCCAAAAAGTTTTGAGGGAAGCGAAAGGGCTGGAAATGGCAAGGCACCAAGGCTGGCTACTTATTATTATTCCGCGGACCTGAGATGGCGGGCCGGCGGGTCGGATCCATGGGACGAGTTTTTGGTGCTCATCATGTTGGCCGCCGATCTGGTCGTCGGAGATCTATTTTTTTGCTGAGGTATATCACGCACTACCTAATTAGCAACGGCCAGGTGCGACCAACCGTCGTCTGGTTCCTTTCGGCCCCTGATTGGCGGGAAAGCAGTTACGAATGAGGCCAGCGCTGAGCGACCATGAATGAACGCCACCTGTCAATCGCTTACAATGTTTAGTATCTCCCACGTCTTGCATTTGCGCCTGCACGTGGCCATTTTGACCAGAAATAAGTTAAAAAAAAAGGATGAAAAAAAGGAAGGAAAAAAAAGGAAGGAAAAAAAAGGAAGGAAAAAAAGGAAGGAAAAAAAGGAAGGAAAAAAAAGGAAGGAAAAAAAAAGGAAGGAAAAAAAAAGCGTGAACAGAAAAGTGGGTCCAGAGACTTGGCGGCACCACTTCAAAACATCGACTAGGGTTAAGGCCTGCCCCTTTTCCTTTTCATCGCGTGAATTGCCCAACTATCTTGTCCAGTATCCTGTAAATAAATACCATCTCCTTCTAGTTCTTATTGCTAGCTAGATTTCGGTCCCTGTCGAGTTTGTCCCGAACCTTCTCTATGTTCCTATTATAGTCGATAACGCTCAGTCCCCTGGGTCTAGTTTGCAGCAAGGGGGGGAAAGGAGGCAGCTATGTATTATCCCTGTACTTACAGCAGTTCGTTACGCTGCTGAAGACCCTGTAGCACCTCGGCCACGAAACGACAAGCTAAGTCTGATATATCTAAAGAGCTATCGTCGTTGGATTGTTGCTTACGGTAATATCTCTTTTTGGCCATAGCCAACCTCCCTGAGCTCGTGTGGCACTGGACACCAAGCCGTAGCGTTGTCGAGGGAGGCGTTCCGGTCATCGTCTGAAACCCCAGAATGTTGTTTCAGCCTCCCAAAACTGGCAATGTTGGACGTTCAGGGCACATGTGCATTCCAGCTCTGGGATTTCCGCTGTGTGCAGGGTTTGAAGGAGAGCCGGGCCGCGTAACGATGACCTCTTGTGGTGTATTGGTATGCGTCAGGAATCTCCGTATCTACCAATTTTTTGGAATAATCAATTATTTCGTCTGGGAGAGTCACGCCAGCATTCAGTTATAAGTGCAACTTTACTCGTATTTTTGGGCAAATTTAGACCGTTACAAGAGAGAGAGGGCTTCACTACCTACTCTATAGTATACTCTATAGTACGGACTCTAGTAGTTCATGCCCCACTCGGAGAAAATTCTTCAAGGCAAGCCGTAGACAGTTAATTATTTCACGTCTGAGAATGTCCGCGGCGACAGCCACTCGGGGGATGGAAGGGGATTAGGTTCCCATCCCTGGGTTGATGAGTGTCTTGGACTCTTCGGCACTGGAATGCATACCGGCCTCTGACGACTCCACTGAATCATGGCACGACAGCTCGCAGGTTACCGTCGGATATAATTATCGCCCTCGTTTCTCTTATCCTTCAAACATGGCGTTGAACGGATGCAGCTCAAGCGACTAAATCACCGCTGATTGACATTGGAGCGCGTCTCTTCTAAACTTGCACATTACTTCAGTCAGCCTCCGAGTATGTTTTGCCAACTCAAGACCCTCGAAAACCATGCTGGCGTCATAGCCACAGCCATGCTGCTCCTCTCGGGGGCAACAAAGGCACTGCGCGTGGCCTTCCTAGAGACGGCCATCGCCAAACGCGATTCGCTTCCCCCTACTAACCCCACTTTCATCAACACGGCTCTGAACGCGGTCAACACAATCCACGGCCAGCACGACGCTGCCAAACTCACCTGGGACGCAGACCTCGCTGCCATTGCGCTGACCAAGGCCAACGGCTGCACGCTGAACCACACGGTAGGCACCCCCCCCTCCCCCGCGCCGCAATCTCACAAATCTCCAACTAACATCCGCCGACGGGACAGGGGGCCTACGGTGAGAACGCCTACTACTTCTGGTTCAAACCAGCGACGCGGAAGCCCAACTTCACGGCGCAGACGCAGGTGGGGTTCGACGCGTGGGTGGGGCAGGACGAGGTCGACGCGTACCTGGCGGGCGACCCGATGGGCGGCGGACACTTCACGCAGACGGTGTGGAAGAGCTCGCGGACGCTAGGGTGCGCGTTCAGCACCAAATACTGTGCGCAGAACCCGAAAAAGGAGTAGTGGTTCTATTGCGACTTCTTCCCGGCTGGCAATGTCATCGACCAGTATGAGGATAATGTGACGGTCTAGGAGTGACGGTTGGGACAGAGTGTGTTGTGTGCTTCTCTTCCTCCACTCATTGTTGGGAGTAGGGTCGGATAGTCAATGCTTATCCACTTATCCAAGACTTGGAACTAGGCGGACCGGCTCGGGCACTGCAGCCATGATCTCATGGTCATATGACCTGGGCTGAAAGAACACTCTGCCAATTGCCAACTCGTGTCGCGCTAGCAGCTGATCTAAGCCTTGGGCCAATGGCAGGCTTCATGCTAGTGAGCTTGAACCTTCCCAAAATAGAATGAATGACGGGGGGGTTGGGGGATTCCTCATAAACGGCCTCAGAGGGAAGGAAGTACCAGTGACTTTGGATGGCCAGAGCCTCGTCGGCTTTTTCGGCTGTGTGCATTATTCACCCGCTTTCTCTGCTCCTTGGCCCAAATCGCTCAGCAGTTTGCCCATCATGGCTGCCCAGAATCGTGACGCGGCCGGCAAGGCTCTCTGGCATGGCCACTGCTAGCTTCAGGCAGCAGTCGCTGGCAAGAGCCAAGCACGGCGAGGTCATTCATAGGCCACAAAAAATGCCGCTCTTGCGATTCCGATTCCGTCCATGTCAATATTTCTGTGGCTTTTTCTCCCCAACAGCCATGATGCACCGTCACACCCACCCATCTCAGCACTGCTTGATCGAAATATCGAGGTGAACTTGGTTCTAAGCAGAGTCTCCATTCCGAGGGACGGCTCAGTATTGCGGCAAGCCAAAACTCAGATTCCCATCATGCACAGCTGCCAATGCTCAGAGTGCCAGTCATTATGGCAACCCGCACCAGGGCCAGCGTCTGGCACGTACAAGCAAGCTCAGGGTAGCAAGCCTGCGAAGACCACAGCCAGGAAGAATGAGGTTCCCAAGTCTGCCTCTGGTCCGAGCAGCGCCTCGAACACCGTTAGCAAGAGTAGCAAAACCAATCCCTTTGTCGACACCAGCATGAGCAACACCAGCAAGACCGTGGTGATCGCCGTCATGGGCGCCACGGGCGCCGGCAAGAGCACCTTCATCAAGACTATCACAGGACGGGACGACGTTGTGGTGGGGGGCAGTCTGCTATCTGGTTCGTCTCTGCCGTCACCCTAGAAGTCCCCCAAAACCCAAGCCTTCCAACATCTCCTCTCGCTCAGAAACATCCGAGATCGCCTCGTACAGGTTCCAGCGCGGGGGCGTCGACTACGTGCTGGTCGACACGCCGGGGTTCGACGACACGAACCGGCCGGACCGCGAGATCACGCGCAGCATCCTGTCGTGGCTGGCGGCGTCGTCCCAGGAAGCGGCCTCGCAGGAACAGCAGCATCTCAACGGCATCGTGTACCTGCACCGCATCGTCGAACCGCGCATGACGGGCACGGCGCTGCGCAACACGCGCATGTTCCGCCAGCTGGTGGGTGCCGACGGCTTCGCCAACGTGGTGCTGGCCACAACGTTTTGGGAGGTGCTGCCGCCCGCGGTCGGCGACGCGCGCGAGGCCGAGATGCTCGCCAACGCGGACTTCTGGGGCGCCATGGTCGCGCGGGGGTCGCAGACGGCGCGGCTGCTGAACTCGCGGGCGTCGGCGCTCGACGTGCTGGGCAAGTTCGCCGGCATGGCCAAGTTCACGCCGGCGGCCGTCGACGAGATGGTTAGCCGCGGGCTCTCGGCAGACGACACGTCGGCGGCGCGGGAGCAGCGCGCGCAGGCCGACGCGCTGCAGCGCGAGCTCGAGGCACAGAAGCTGGCCGAGCAGGCGCGCATGGCGCAGGAGCTAGAGCGCGAGCGCAGGGCGCAGGAGAAGCGCATCGTAGAGGCCAAGGCGGAGCTCGAGCGCCGGCGCGAAGCCGAGCGCCAAGCGGAGACCAAGCGAGCGGAAGAGGCGCGCCGCAAGGAGGAGGCCGAGCGCGAGTGCGAGCGCCAGGCCGCCAAGGAAAAGCAGGAGGAGCTCGAGAAGCGCGTGCGCGCCATCAAACGTGACATGGAAGCCGAGCAGGCGCGCCACAAGCGCGAGAAAAACGCGCGCGAGGCCGCTGCCCGCCAGCTCCGCTACCAGGAGTCATACGTCTGCGGCGAGTACGGCGGAAAATACTGCGATGCCTGCTCCGGGCGGCTCAGCAAATATTCCTACTACTATCGTAAGTTTGTTGTTTCCCGAGTGCCACATCCACACATAAGAATTTGCCAACTGGTTCTGGTTCTGACAAAATAACCGCCACTATTTAGATTGCTGCTTCTGTGAGAACGACATGTATAACAAGTGTTTAGGCTGCGGGAGCACATGTCCCCAATTTTCGGCTTCGACCGACAAGCACCCGGTTATGCTGAAGCGGATGAGTCCCGAGTCGGATTGTGTCGTGATGTAAGATACCTTGGTTACTTGTTTGTAATCAGGGATGAGGGATGAGGATTTGAAGGCTCGTGTTCGCCAGTTTGATAATTGGACACGTAATTAGGATAAGCAATTACAGAGTAACTAGCCCCGAACAGTTTCTGAGATCTATACAAAGTTACACACGTGCGACGTAAATTTCAAGCAAGTTCCAGAGTCTTCATTTTTCTCAATGTAATTATTGGCTACCGGACTGTCGATACCTGGCGTCATCCGGGCGACTGCTCCGAGCGTTCCGATCACCATTGCCCGCGGGCACTTGGGCGTCTCTGACGCCAGCAGCCGGCACGAACGCGGTGAAGGTCTCGTTAATGGTACGGTATATGGTGCTGGTCACGGCGTTATGGCTCCTGGCCCGCTGTCTCTGGATCTGGCGCATGCTCCTGGCCGTCTGCCTCTGCTCGCGCCTGGCCTGCTCCATCCGCAGAGCCATGGCGTTCTCGGTGGCGCGCGCGCGCTCCTTCTCGGCCTCGATCTCGACCTGGTAGCTGTGCAGGAGGTTGCGCGTGTCTGCATCCTGCCGGCGGGCGAAGCTCTCGCGGAGCTCCCGCTGCACTCGCAGTGCCTGGCTCTGCATCGCCAGCAGCTCGCCCGACAATGACGGCGCATCGCCTTGCTCCTCATCGAACCCCTGGAACTGAAACTGCTGCTGCTGCTGCTGCTGCTGTTGCTGTTGCTGGCGCTGCTGCGGCTGGTGATCCTGCTGTTGGTGGTCTACCACACCACTCTCTATGGCCTGGTAGCGGCCGCTGCTCTCGAGGGCGAGCTGGCGGAGCGACACGGCGAGGTTCTTGGCGTCAGCAGCGCGGCGAACCTCGTGCGCCTCGAGGGCCTCCTTCTCGGCGCGCAGCTCGCGGAACGTCGCAGCATCACTGTCGGCCAACGCCTGTTCCATGCCGGCCACGTACTCGCCGCGATCCGCCTCGAACCGCCACCGCGCCTCGGCCATCTCGCGCTGCACCAACTGGCCCACCGCAGTCGCGTCCAACGTTCGCTCTTCGTCCACGAGCTGGACCTGTATGTCCAGAACAACGCCCCCTCCTCCAATGCCAACTAGACTTCTCACGATGGCGTGTGCCGATACGGCCGTCCCGTCGTGCCGCACCATCCGGCTTCCGCCCTTCACCATCTCGCCCCAGAACTTAGCCTTCAGGAGGTCGCTCTCGCGCTGTTGGCCCACGCCTGCAGCCAGTTCTCTGTCTCGGTCAGATGTTCGTCTTGGTGCTGCTGCCTCTAGGGCGGGCCACATGGTTGTGGCGAGCACGACGGCGGGTAGGGCGCGCGGCCCGCAGAGCTTCTTGAACAAATCCAGGCTCTTGAGCGTGGTGCCCTGCATGCGCGGATCCGTAATGCGGTGCAGGTACACGAGGCCCGCGAGCCGCACCCGCCGCCGGTACAGCATGGCAAGGAACAGTGCCGTGTCCCGAAGGATCTCGGTGTCGGACCGCGCCGTGTCGTCGAAGCCTGGCGTGTCGACAAGGTAGACGGTCCGCCCGCTGTCACGATCCACGAAGCTGTAGATTCCGATGTCGACAGTGCCTTGGTGATGTTAAAATTCGATCATGGTTTGTTTTGCGTGGCGTATGAGAGAGTTGGGGAATGTAATGACGCACATGATTGAAGCGAGTGCCCAACCTGCACCGGCTGCTCCGCCAATAAGGAAATGAACGTGCTCTTCCCAGCTCCCGTAACGCCCATGAGCATCACCACGATGGAATCCTCGCTGGTAGTTTGGCGTGGTGTTAGTCATTCCGTGCGTCTTGGCATGAATCTGAACGAACAAGTGTGAATGGGGGTGCCACACCTCAGAAAATCCGGGTCTTTAGTCTTGACATATTTGGCTGAGGAATCATGGGAAGCAGAGGGCTCGGTGAATCTTCTTCGAATGGGCTCTGTATTCAAGTTCGGATAGTCAACTCCATCATTCGTCGGTGGAGCTCTGGTGAATGCCATATCATCTGTATTGTCACTATACCCGCCCCCCATCGTGAGGAAGAATCAATTCGTCAACTTTTGGACCGAAAATGATGGTTAAATTGACAATAGTACCGCTGGGAAGGGAGTCGACTGCCCGGGGAGGGAAAAGGGGGATAAACGAGTTCCAGAACTCAACGGTGGCACCCTCTCAGAGTCATTCAGGGTGGAACGCTGAACATTGAGCACGGCGGGGCTCTGGGCTATGCTTTGACACCACATATAATTCCGAGCAAAATGCCAAGGAATAAGGTGCCTAACCGCTCACTGACACTACTTGGCAAAGGCGGCTCCGCCTCAGCCCAGCCCGCCTCCGTGAGGCCTTTTTCAGTGACCCATGTCATCTCTCATGCAGGGCGGCGCTTTCCCTAGCGCGATTTTCTGGAGCGATTGGCTGTCGACGGCCAGAGAAGCAAGCAGCCTCAGAAGCAGGCAGCAGTTTGCTGAGGGAAGGGGGGGGGCAAGTCACTGGTACTTCAGAGTCGAGCTCTGAAATATGTAGAAATGCTCGGCATGCACCATGGGGAGGACGAGCGGTGGTATTGTGGTAAGAGCTCGAGGTAAATCGAAGGTTGGGGTTGCACACCTGATCTTCTATACTTTCCTTGTTTTCGTCGCGGGAAAACTTGAGCTCGAGGTTGACACATCAAGCTCCGTTGTGGCCGTGCAGTGTTTGCTTCCCAAGAATAACCCTCCCTTGGACGAAGAGAAGTTGGTCCTGTCCTCAATAACATCATCACCGCCATACCCCCAGGCTGCGACAACATCGACGCACGATGGTTAGAAACCAAGCCGGCGCATATTATGGGCAACAGCCCCAACCATTTGGTGGTGATGGCTTCGGCAACGAAGGCGGTATTCTCGGCGAGCCGAACGCTATGGATCTGCCTACTTTAACGCAAGTTTGGCTCGTTTCCGCTTAGTCGGGGTGTCTACTGACAAGAAGCCTGTCTCAATACAGTCCGGACGACATCGTCATCGCCGTCATGGGGGTTACGGGCGCCGGCAAGACGACTTTCATCTCGCACTTTGCTCCGGGCGCGATGGTGGGCCATGGCCTGGAATCTTGCACGCAGGAGGTCGGCATCCACGCGGCCGTGGTGGGCAGGCAGCGAATCTATCTGATCGACACACCAGGCTTCGACGACACGCGACGGTCCGACACAGATGTGCTGCGTGAGGTGGCTAACTGGCTCAATGCGTCGTACAGGGCGCGAATCACGCTGGCGGGCATCGTTTACCTCCATCGCATCGGCGATAACCGTATGTCTGGGTCGGCCATGAAGAACCTCCGTATGTTCCGGCAGCTGGTGGGCGACGCGGCGCTCTCGTGTGTGGTGCTAGCAACCACCATGTGGAGCATGGTGCCGTCGGTCGAGGAGGGCGCAGCGCGCGAGCACGAGCTGAAGACGAACCGGCAGTTCTGGGCGGGAATGGTAGACAAGGGCAGCGTTGTGTTCCGGCAGGACGCGGGTGCGGCATCTGCCAGGCGCATCGTGCAGTATTTAGTAGCGCAGCGGCAGCGGGTAACGCTGACGATACAGCACGAGATGGCCAACGGCAAGACGCTGGACGAGACGAGCGCCGGACGCGAGGTGCAGGCCGAGATGGAGGCGATAAAGATGAGGCACAAGGCCGAGCTGGCCGAGCTGCGCACCGAGATGGCCGAGGCCCGGGCAGCCCACGACAAGCAGACCCATGAAGAACTCGCGGCCGTGCGTGCCGACCTCGAGGCCAAGCTGCGGCGCGACCGTGAAGACCGCGACAAGATGCGCGTCGGGCTCGAGCAGCTGCGTATCCAGCGAGACGCCGAGCTGGCACGTGAGCGCGACGAACAAGCCACACGCACGACCGAGATGAACGAGCGCATCTACAATCTCAAGTTCGAGCTCGAGGCCCAGCGGGGCCGCAACCAGGCCAGCGCCGAGATCAAAGCCATGGAGCTCAAGCTGCTGCAGCAAAAGGCCGACAATGAACGCATGAGGCTGCAGGTCGCCCAGGTTCGTGCCGACGCCGAGCGAAGCTCTTGTTCTGTCATGTAATTAATTACCTGAGGGGCTAAGGTAGCCAAATCCATGTTGATGTTTATATTGGCAAGAGTTGGTTGATTGCCATGATTGCGAGGCTAGTCTTGAAAGCTTGGAAGATGGAATAATATGACGTCGATGCCATGCAAGATCAGCAGTGGCTGACACAAAGGATCACACGAACCGTTACGAAATGTACCGTAGAGTCTGAGAGGGTTTCCGGGTGCTGGGAGCGGGCATTTTCTTTTGGATTTGGGGTTGAACTTGTCTCGGTTGAACGCCAACGGAAGAGCAATTTCAGTTCCCCGGTGTTGCACGAAGTAGAGAGCTAGACGGGCAAGGAAACGGCACAGGCCGTCAGGACTTCTCCACCTAAGTAGAAGTAAAAATATTCTTATGGCAGTCGCGATCAACTCATTCCATGACACCATAAGTTAACTCGCTCTTGACAAAGATACTAGGATGTGGAGCTTGCGGGTGCCAGGTTACCCCCCAGTTGGCAGGAACACAAGGTACCCATCGATTAATTTCATTCCTTCTTTCATTGCGTTGGCGACCTAAGAGCACTCCGCAGCTCATTCTCACCAAGAGGCACCGCCTACCGTCCATCGTCATAGAGATTGAAGATGGGCCAACCACCCATATGAAAGCCTTCCACGGCGCGAGTATATTTAATTATTCAGCATTCTATCTTACGCTAGAAGCTGCTTCAACCCAAATCGAAGCCTCACTCGGTATTCGCACTCGTGCAGAGGCCGCCAAACTGGGTGCGGACGGGGATCCTGGTGGTAAAGACGTTCCGCGCCCAGTCCATGACGTTGACGGTGGCCGTCTGGCCGTAGGTACCGGCGCCTGGGCTTCCCACCCTCGAGCAGTCCTGCACGCCGGTCGAGTAGTCGAAGGCGGACTGGCCGGCGAAGTTGTGGGACCAGATGGCCAGCTCGTGGTACTCGGGGTCCCCGTTGGAGTTGTGCGTGACCCAGTCTTCGCGGATGTCGACGGCCGCGCCTGCCGCCGAGAAGCCACTGCCGTGCACCTCGATGATGTTCACGTGGCCGGCCCGGTCTGTGAACCACGTGATGGAGAAGTTGCCGATCGGCGGCGGAGGCGGCGGCGGCGGCTTCTTGACGCACGTGTAAGTTGCCGACGAGCAGATGTAGTTGAGCGGGCAGCAGAGGTCGTCGCACAGCACGCGCGGGGGCGTGCAGACGGGCGATGGCCCGTTGGGGTTGACTGTCGAGAAAGGAATGTCAGCGTGAGCAGATTGAGTCACGGCGTGAAGAGTGGCGTGTTGGAAGTGGCTACTCACTCGGCGCTCGAGCAACAATGGCAGCCTGAGCAGGCGAGCTGCCGCCGAGGACGGAGAGCAGGGCGACACACAGCAGCCCCTTCATGTTAGACTCAAAGTAAAGGAGATGTAACGAGGAACGAAGGAGACGATACCAAAGCCCTCGGCAGAATGGGCGGTGGCATGTTTTATATGTTGTCAGCAGCAGCGTCATGAAAATGATTTGTACAGGGGTTGTCCCCTGAATGCGGATTACGGCGTTGGTGGTGGCTGAGAAGCTGAGGACACAAGCTGGCTGCCATTGGTCACCTCCCCTGGCTGCGGCACCCGCGAGTGCGTTTTGGGGAATGCAATGCGATGCCCAATTCTTGTTACTCATATGAATGTACAATGATTCAACACCGATTATTTTCTGTTGGATTTAAGCAAGGTAGTTAAGGTACCTACTGCACTGCTGCGCATCAATTACCCTATTTCTTCACGGCCGAATGTCAATGCTTGACCTCCCCTGTGAATGCCTCAACACCTTTGCATTTCATTCTTCCAACCAACCAGTCAATCTCAGAAAATATCGTTTACCATTCGCCATCTTGTTATAATTATTTAGTTAGTAGTCTGCCTGCAGTAATGCTCGCCTAAAATAGACTTAATGGCCCCTTCACCGTCACCCCATTTGATTCCTTGCAAATTAGAAGTAGCGCACATGCCTCCATCGACTATGAAATCGACGACCTTCTCCCCAATTATATCATAAAATTTTATATGAGAAATGGACACTTTCAGTCAAGTGCTCATCTCACCTCGTTCGAGTTGAGTGGGCATTCGAGTCTTGACCTCACCTCCTAACAATTGTAACCCAATTCCAACGTCGGCTCTAACTACAAGATATTCCCTGCTAGTTCATAGTTCAAGACCGAAATGAAGTAAAATAAGCGGGATTGATAACTTCGTTCTGCGTCTTGGGTTGTCTCCCTCCCCGCAATGTGGCGGACATATAGCAAGCACTTAGAATTCAGGTCTTGCTTATTTGAGAAGCTCATCAGATAAAATTAAGCAATGGTGACGTAGCTGCATGCGGTCGAATCTGTTGTCCGCCTAGGTTGAGCCATTGAACCCGGCATTCTGTGTGAGGTGTCGGCATCGCCGTTGCGCGTCAAAGTGTCCAAGATGGCGCAGGGTTTGGGGAGCCCGCTTGGCAGCGACCCAAGAGTCAGGAACAACGAAGTTGCGAGTGTGGGGGACCGAGTTCTTCCAGGTTAACTGCGCCAGAACCAAACCGGGAAACGTGAAACAGGGGGTGGGCCTACCAGTTTCTTGGCAGCATCCGCTGCACTACGTAGTACTTCTAACCTAAATTGTGGGGGCGGCTGCTGCTGTGGGACATGTCTGTGAGGTACCGTACCACCGTACCATTGACATCAAAAGAACCATACCGCGCAGGCCGAGGGGCGCATTTTTAAAGACGTCTTTTCTTGTATTGTTCTAGTAGAGAATCGTATAATATTGGTCCCCGAGGTTAACTCTTGATGACTTGTAGCATTTCACCTGTTGTGTGGGCTGCCATGGGTGGCCTGTGGCTTAAGTGGGCCTCGAATCCCTGCCACCGCTTCCCACCGTTCCATTCTTGGTAAGACAAGCACTGGTGCACCTTGGCCTCGTGCGGCTCCGCACGCCAACCAATTCTCCACGCCGCGCGTTTGCCATTTGGAGACGACGACTCGCCCGACGCTCCTGCCATGACGATCACAGAAATACGAACCCGTCGCAGCTGATGCCGATGCTCGATCTCCCCGAACACCCGACATGGATTCGGTGTCGCGACTGCGCAGTTTCGGCGTCCGCCAGTACCTGATGCGCTCGCCGCTGCGCAGGCTGGCGGTGCTGCTGACGCTGCGAAAAGTGCTGCTGCTCTTCTTCATCTGGTCTATCGTCGAGGCCCAGCTCGTCCGAAACCGAATCGCTCAGTCTGAGCGCCTCTTCGCGTCGCGGCCCATCCGCCTCGACAAGTCATCGCGCGTCTTTATTGCCAGCCTGCACTGGAACAATGAGGCCATCCTGCGGTCCGACTGGAACAGGGGCGTTGTCGAGCTGGTCAACGCCCTCGGCCCCGAAAATGTCTTTGTCAGCGTCTACGAGAGCGGCAGCTGGGACGATAGTAAGGGCGCCCTGCGCGAGCTCGACCAGGTCCTGGAAGACACGGGCGTCGCCAAGAAGATCGTGCTCGACAAGACAACGCACGAAGAGCTAATCGCCGGGCCCCCCGACGAGCACGGCTGGGTCGAGGCCCCCGACTTCCGCATGAAGCTGCGGAGGATACCGTATTTGTCACGCCTGCGCAATCTGTCACTGCAGCCGCTGCTGGACCTGGCCGAGAACGGGACCACCTTTGACCATGTCGTCTTCCTGGGCGACGTCGTCTTCAATGTACGCCTGCTCACCTGCCCGACCTCTATTCTCCCCGCGACGTAACCTGCCGCTAATTTCCTTCCTTCTTCAGACGTCAGACGTTATCACGCTCCTGAACACCAACTACGCCCACTATGCGGCGGCGTGTTCGCTGGACTTTAGCAAGCCACCCGGCTTCTACGACACGTTTGCGCTCCGCGACGACGATGGCCACGAGTATGCCTCGCTCACATGGCCGTACTTTCGGTCCGCCAGCTCGAGAAATGCAATGGTCAATGGCATACCTGTCCCCGTGTCCAGTTGCTGGAACGGCATAGGTTAGTCTTTTGAGGCTCCCCTTTGGCTGCCGCGATGCCATCACCGGCCTTCGCCGCCAGCGTCGAATTTGACTTGTCGCAGTCCATCCACAACATACTAACTCTCGGCTCTCTCACAGTCGCCATGCCTACGTCCGCCTTCACGGGGATCAAGGGCCTCAAGTTCCGGGGCATCGACGACGAGCTCGCGCAGTCGCACCTCGAGGGCTCCGAGTGCTGCCTCATCCACGCCGACAACCCGGCGTCGCGCACGCGGGGCGTCTACATGAACCCCCACGTGCGCGTGGCGTACAATCGCGCGGCCTACGACCGGGTGCACCCGCGCGGGAGCAGCTGGCTCTCGCTGTTCCAGGTCTGGTCCGGTTTGTGGAGGAACCGGCTAGCGAGGTGGCTCACCACGCCCCGCCTCAAGGAGTACCGCATCCGCAGGCGCCTGCGGCTGTGGGAGCAGGAGGGCGCCGAGAAGCTCGAGGTGCGCGAGGAGCCCGGCGACTTTTGCCTTATTAACGAGATGCAGGTCGTTGTCACCAACGGCTGGGCCCATCGCTAGCGCATACGTGTCTTGGCTTTAAACGAATGTTGAGCGGTTTTAGACTTTAGACTTGCTTTTTACAGTTACAATGCAATCACTTGCTGGCTAGTTACACAAGAACATAAGCGCGTGGGGGTAGTTGTTTCTTGAAGGTGGAGTGTATAAGAAGCTGCAGTAAATAGCGGCTTATTGTCCTTCGCCTCTGTCCTAGGTTTCACAAAGTATACTCGGCTATCTGAGAGAGCTAACTAAGTCAAGCACATTATTAATTATTAATTATATGTCACTGCATTCGGATGGGTCGATATAGGAGCCTCGGGTATCGCTGACGCAAATCTCGGCTTATACCCGCAGCGAGGAAGCAAGTTTATAGGACTAAAAAAAGCAAGCATTGCTGAAATGTATAGATGTGCTCGTAATTATACTCGCTGATATTAATCTACGTACCGAGTGCCTAGAAAAAACCTTACCTAAACCGGGCAGTAATAAACATCCCAACCCTCTGTATTGTACATATGCAAGGAAGAGCCAACTAGTCCATCAGGACTCAGTAATCAGAACGGACATCGTTAGATTTATTAGTGTCGAGTCTCCCCGACCCACGCCCCACCGTCTTCTCCTAGTCGCCCATCTCCTCTCTCTGGTGACATAGCCGTCATCCACCACACGCTACCTGCCCTCAATCGAAAGACGAAGAGTCGTCGTTTGGCCGCGTCTTGCTGCCGTCGACCTTTTCGTCGGGCTTCTGCTGCTGGAGTAGTTGCTAGTTGGGTTAAACCCGAATGCGAAGCACATGTGTGTATAGTCACTGGTGAGAAAGTGTAAGTGTGCGAGTAATCAAAGATGAGGTAATGTAAATAGTTTAGCTTACCATACATGTGTCCCTCGCTCTCCCTGCGAGCATTCTCACTCTGGCTCATCTTTGATAAACTCATCCTTGACAAACTCATCCTTGACAAACTCATCCTTGACAAACTCATCCTTGACAAACTCATCCTTGACAAACTCATCCTTGATGGGCTCGTCCTTGACGGACTCCTTCCGGAGTGCGGCATGACTGTATCACCACCCCAAAATCGACGACTGCCCATTCTCATACTCACGTGATCCCTCGACATTTTGATCAGTCCAGATCAGTCCCGGCTCAGCTTCGGCTAATATCTGCTTATTAAAGCTCCAGCGCACAGCGCAGCCTCGCTAAGAGGTACAGTTCTCACCGAAGAGCCCAACAGCAACAATACAACCTGTTCACAACCACATGTGGAATCCAAGGTGCCGTGCTCCTGATAGGTCCCAATCTTGGGGGTTGGACACAAACTCCCTTGCCACCACTCACATCTATAAAAAGAAGCTCTCTGGCAAGACCAGAGGGCACCACAGAGAAGAGACAGGAACACACAAGCAATGCAATCACACAGTTGCAACCCTATCAATCCACCAGATCCAAAGTGCCGTGTTTCTGACAGCACTCTGCTATCCCTTACGGTGCAGGTTGCAACATTGCGGCCACCCATTTCGCTGCAATGTTGACCGCGATCGAGGTACCTACCAGGTAATGAGCCCTTTTTTGTCTTGGCAGTGAACATTCTAAAATAACGCGTAGCGCCCAATTCTCGGCCCACGGTAGCTTAACTTCGTGGCCCAGAACTGAACAGGGTCGCACGGACCAGTCCTGGAGTCCCGAAACATGGACCAAGAAGGAAAGGGAAATTCGTGGTGTCGGTTTTGGGGTTGTGTACTGTTCGCGTTGCTAATTTTTAAGCATGTTATTAATTGTGGCAAATGCGAGCCCTGTTTTAGGCATTTGGGCGGGTATATCATGTACCTGGTATAGTTGGGCTGGTATATTATTTACTAGTATATTCAACGTACTAGTACATTGTATACCATGTCAAGTTTATATACCGGTACATTTTGTACCGTCCTGCAGCATGTGCTAATCTATCCCGTGTATATAGACTATATGAAAAATTAGGCTTTGAAGCAGCACCACGCTGAGAAAGTGGTGCTGGCGGTGTGGCATACTGTAGCCTCCAACTCTGAGTGATTATCGAAGACTTTCTAGCCGGATTGGAAATGCGATATGAGTGTCTGGACGGAAGCCATTCGTCTCTTGAGAAGCAAAAGAGGATCGAGGTATCAAATGCGCCCGATTTTAAAAATCTTCATTATGCTGCTTTCTACCCGTGCGGGTGGCGTCGGTATAAATCTAACAATCACAATTAACGTCATTATTCTAGATCCCACGGAGGTCGACGCCGTGCTCACGGGCGATACCTACGCCCCCATGGTCGACGTTAAGTGGGAGGTCGTCGAACGCGTCCGCCTTAGGCAGCCAGAATACAGCACTTATGGTGTTCAGGGCATTCAATTGATTCAAGATTGTTCTCTCTGCTGTTCTTCAGAAGCCGGAGGTCTGTGGTCAGGATAATTAGATCAAACGCACGTGCCGACGGCATTCGCCATCAGGCTGTTGAGCCACTGATGTAATCTGACACACCTCCTTAGTTAACGCCTCTTCCCAGAGTCGTTGGCAGACCATTATGAAGCTATCCCCAGCCCCTGAATTGGTATAGTGGCTTCGCCGACCTTGATGAGGTCCTCCAAATCCTGCAAATCCTCCTCTGTAAGAATCTTCACTCCTTGGCTGTTAATCCTTTCTGTGATACATATTTAGTAGATACTTCAATGTCTGTTGCGCCTCCCGAATCTTGCTCTCCTCAACCCTTGTAGACCATAACACCCCTCGCCGCTTTTGCTCAGGCAACAGCCACGATATCATCAGGGAAGTGACTGAAATTGGCTTAGACCAGATGGGCAGTATTCTGAGTACCTGGAGCTCAGAAGATGAAAATTGGCAACTTTTCGCGAAGGAAGTGCTTGTACCATAGCTGGGCCCAAAACTGGGACCGCCGAGGAACACATAAATACTTGCCCGCCCACTTTGAGAACCTCCTCGTAGAGCCTAGTTTATAGTCATCTCTAATGTTAGCTTCTTGACCTTTTCAAATTTTTTGCTTTGCCATTTCCTCCGTCCATCTCGACTGGACCGCCACATTAACTCTCAGCTCTCTAGCTAGTTGGATCTACGAGTATCAACATTCTGTTCATCATATTGGGAAATTTTCAAACTAGTTTTCCCTTTTGCTCGCGCCGTCAAAGACCGCTGCCAAAGATGGTTAGGAGAAGGACAGCAGAGGAGAGGAGAAGATGCGCAGAAGAGAATGGATTCGATGATGACGACACGGATGTTGATGACAAACCTATCCCACGTGACGTCTTAGACTACACCAAAGAGAGATACAATCACCAGATGGACCTGTGGATCGAGTAAGTAGACTATACGAACAGTGATCGGCGGGGAAAACTAATAGACCGTTAAGGTACAAAACAACACATGTCGAAGCTACAACTCATCAGTTGAAAACTCTAAAGCACTTCGCCAAGTTTATAGCCAATTCCACCAAAGGCGTTCTCGACCCGAACGGAAAGCCGACCGTCCAAACCGTGCGGAATTACTTCCGGTGCTTTGTCTCCGGTTGGAATCTGAACAATCCGACGTCCTTGATTTCGAGAGACTTCAGACTCCATCACCAGTGTAGGTTCCTAACACTTCGGTAACATTCCACCCAGACGCTGACCTCGGAATAGTACATAAAGGGCCTATTACGGAAGAAGCTCGGTTTATCAACAACCACAAGACCAAAGAACTACCTTACACTCGAAAATTACATGCACCTAGAGAGGCAGCTCTGGCAGAACGATGGACAAGACTTCGTACACGAAGCGTCCCGAGTTTTCATTAGCGGAAAATTGAAGTGTCGCGTCTTCACACCAGCTAGACTAGGTGAGGTTAGTGAGGGCTCGACCCGGAGAGGTACCAGCAAAGGATTGCGTTATAGGGTAGGTAATATGGCTCATTTTCAGGATCGCGGGCTAATCCCGATAGGACACGGTGATGCTGGTCGCTTGGAAGGACGGTAAGCCTGAACTACGGTTTAGCCTAAAGAGAGAATTTGCGAAGGCAATGCACGATAAGGAACAGCAAAGGTTGGCATACATCTCAAGTATATGTGGCTTCGATGCTAATGAATCTATTGGAATAGACCAACGCACCTACTCTATGAACATCTCCCTGGCTAGCCTCTTGTCGTGAACCCAATGCTCTTCTTGCTCGCTATTTGCCTTGCGGCGGGAGCATTCAAAAAGTATAAGACTCTCAAAGAGGTTTTAGACGTTAGACCGCCGGCAAACCAAAGGTACTGGGTCCTCGAATGGTCCCCTCACGTCCTGGACCTACCGGTTTTTCCAGAAGCATCAGTAGACGGGCCGACCAATAAGATCCAAACGGGTAATTCGTTCAACACGCAACTCAGGTACCTCGCTATTCGAGCAGGGGTAAGTCCCGTGACGGTTCACAGCATGCGGAGGGAGGCCCTCATCTTGGCTACAGGTATAATACTCACCTACATTTTTATGCTTCACCTAGCTAATCTAAGTCTAGCCAATGGTTATTCGGACAGGGAATTGATAAACTTTGCCGCACACACGAACAAAATGACGCTCACAAGAGACTATTTGAGTTCTATAACCGTTGTAGATGGTCTGGCCAGTTTCCTTAAACTACCTCTTCGAAGCGACCAGGCCGAGGACTTCCGGTCCATGACAGCTAACCGAAATCCCGAGCTTTTGCAATCACTGCCTGCGAAGGTGCAGGACGAGTTAAGGCAGAGAGAGGATTATATTGCCATCACAAAGAAAATCGAGGACCTGGCCCTTGAGATGAGCTCCGCCCGAAATGGGACGGTCGCTCGAGAGTTGAAGTCGGAGCGGGGCCAACTATATGAACAGAGGCGGGTGCTCGAGGAGGAGTTGAACAGGATCCGCTGGAACCAGGAGCGAATACATCCCTCAGAGCGCAAGGAAAAGGTTTACGTGGACCAACATTGTTCCCGATTCGATCGCCTTCGTCATATGATGCCGGAGCGTGAAAGGCTTTCAGTCACGCTTTTCTGCGTCACTCCGATGCGAAGCCCGGAGGAAGAATCGGCCATTGAGGATCTTATTTCTCTCGTGAGGAATAACTGCGGAGTCGCCTACCAACCTTCGCTCCGGCCGCTACAAACCGGATGCGCAATGCCGTATCACGCTGCGGGGAGATGCCAAGTGCAGCACTGCGGCGTGGACAGGTGCCCGTATTGTGACGTAGAACTTGAGCGGTAAAGTGAAATTTAGGCCTTTACACTAGTTCCTAAAGCTGACTTATAAATCTTTAGGATACGTATTGACATCGTCCTCGTATTCATATCCTTGTAAAGTGCACTCAAGTATTGAAGCTATGTAAGGAAAAGAGCACCCCAACCCACACTCTTTGTCGTGCGCGCCCACCACCTGCGCGCGCCCGCCACCTGCCACCAACTGGCAGCGCCATGGGAGCCACGCAGTGGCTCCACACTCCCACAGCACATACGGGGCTTGGTCTCCCAACCATGTATATATAAGCAGCGGCCCTCGCCCACCTTCCTTTGCGAGGGCCAGGTTGAAGTCTTACATCATTGCCAGTCATTGCTCGCCCTTCTTGTTGCCTCCATTGTGACCACCTTGATCTGGCGTACCTGCCTTTCTTTACAGCTAATTACTAGGATTATGCGAGATGTCCTAAAATAATGGCCTCGACAAATGTTGATATTTACCGCTCCCTGCGGCCTGCATACCACGTAGCTGCGAGCTGCTTATACAATGCCTGAGGGTCTAGAGGCACGTATTACAAACCACTCGACTGTCAGGGTCGTCTGTCTGTAAGGGAGCACGGGCTCCACAGGATGGTGGGGTTGGTAATTATGAAGATAGAATAAAGGGTAAGCTCCTATCGCACGGGTAATACAGTCAAATCGGAATGCTACTCAAAGTGTATGAGTGCAGTGAATGTGTATTGCTTGCTTGAAGAACCAAGCAAGAACTATCTAAGACCGTGGACATGATCGTCGTATATATCTATCTACGTAACCAATAACAGTGGTTCCGTTGTCCCGTGGTCCCGCGTCCGGGTCACCGCCCGGCCGGACCTGTCCCGCGCCCCCGAGCTCCAGAGCTCGGAATCCTGGAACGCTCCTGATTGGCTCGCGCCAAAAGTGCATGCCCCACCTTTGTGCATAACCACAGGGAATCCACAGGGATTCGTGACAGCAGGCCGAGAGGGCATTAGGCACTCTTAGCAGTTATTAAATTGTATTGGTTACAGCTACGATCCTTTGTTACTTTATCTACTCGATAATTTGTGCATCACTTACATCCTTAACCCTCACCCCAAGTGTGACGGCGGTCAACAGCAGCTAGGAAGAAGGTCGCTAGTATTGCTATACCATTGTCTAAGGATTCTAAGATAAGGAAAAGAAAGGAAGAAATTTTTGCTCTTTCCCCCCGCTCTCCCACTACCAAATTGAGACGTGGCGCACTTTTGAACCGAATCGCAAGTTCATCGCCATCACCATAGATAAACCCCTGAAACGACGGAGAAGAAAGGGTTTCAGGGGCACTGAGAATTTCAGCTCTGCTTGGCACGGCTAGAACCGCAGGATGCACAAGCTCCCCCCCGAATGAGGTTCTCGATGCCGTCATCTACCAATTGGCGCACCTCCTCATCATGGGCCACGCCTAGATGGGAAGTTGACGGCTGTCCGTGTCCGTGCGACTCCAGGCCTGGTGTCTTTGCGTAAAACATGACCGAGTTCTTGAGGGAATCTCGTTCTGGGTATACCCAGCCGGCAACTCTGTTTTTGTCAGTATATTTTGGTCGAACACCCCCCCCTTAGATCCTTCGTCACTCACCGAATTATCGAATCGAGGCTAACAAAAGAGGCAGTCTCTTCTCGCGATAAGCTCGTAAGCCAGCTGCCGTCTCGGCTCGTAAGGGTAAGGTGGATTTCCCAATAGCACCGGTCGTTTCGGTCACGTACCAGCCCGAGCATGATGGTACGCTCGTATGTTAACCCCAGCTCTGACACAGCACAAAACGTAGCAGTATCATTACCGTGATCCGTGAAGAACGGAACAGGGTAAGGACAAGGTACGTAACGAACCTGGTCGACAAAGCAGCAGTCGCTGAGGACGGCTCGCCACTGGATCGGTGGCGCCTGGAGGATCTCAGGCAGGTCATCCGACAAGAATATGAGCCGTGCCTGCTGCCAGCGGGCAGCAACTCTATCCAAAGTTGGCCGAGGGGGGCAGCATATAACTTCTAGCGAATAAGAACCCACTAGGATAGGTGGCATGATTGGTGGCGGCACCTTCGTAATTATGGCGCCCTGACCGCATGTCATGCCATTATGCATATTCCATCTTGGAAAAATTTTCGAGATGTCCAGAGTAATAGTAGCCACAGGTGCGGCTGGGAGATGCATGTCACTATTGGACACCTGCCGTAAGGGTTGGTGTGAAAAGACCTGGACTCGGCGTAGCGTCCGCCGCCACCATGTACTGGAGCTGCCTTTGCTAGTTGTATATGCTTCCTGTTGCTGGTGGGCCGAACTCGAGGACTTCTGAAGCTGTTGCAGCGTTCCTTTGTCGTCGTCTGACCCTGAATGTGGCATGTAGGGAGGAGGAGGATACGCATTATGCTCAACTTTCCTTCTTGGTAACACGACCATTTTTCCGTCCACTATGTTGGATGAATAGAGTTGGGTAGATGTGTGTGTGCGTGTGTATGAGAGAGTGTGTGTGAGGAAACGGATTGAGGAAACGGATGGCAACCACTCCACCTTAAATAGAAGGTGTGGACTTGACCTTGTCAGCATTTATGCTGCCGACAAAGTTTGATGGGTGGTAGATAGGTTCAGCTTTGCCGTAGTTTAAGTTTGGGCGGCGAGGTCTGACGATCCCATCACAAGTGTTCCCACGGGCACGTTCTTTTAGTCGGAAAGCTTAGCTCGGGTGAGGTTTTTTTCATCATTCTTAGGGTTACTTGAAGTGGTCCTCTGGTATAACGTACGTTATATAAGAGATTTCATACGCTGAACGCCCCTGACACCCTGAGTGGCACCACGGCCCATCGAATCTCGACGATTCAGGAGAGATCCTATCAAGGCTCAGCCCTACGAACCTTGATCTGCGCCAATGGAGCTTCATCGGGCCACAATGGCCAGGAAGGTTACGCTAGGGAGCGCCTACGGGTCATCATTCAGAAATCATGTCATGGAATGACAGAGACCTTCGGTCCCCGGAGGACCTCGGTATTAGATAGCTCATCAGACCTAGATGGTATCTCGAAGGGCAAGGACCTTCGAGGCCATAGTCAATTCCTGTGTTCAGAATCGACTTGTTCAGCGCCCAAAGGGCCAAATTCTGTTCCAAGCTGCACTCCCAGCTCCCTGTGGTTGCCCCTTGTCACAAGAGACCACAACGAGAATCTCCGCAATGCCAATGGAAGAATGCACAACAAATATCGGCCATATATGCGAAAGAAATTCCAGAATGTCCCGACGCAACGTATTGGATTATCCAAACGCCAAGGACTGTGGCAGAGGCCCCTGGCCGTGACGCCGATCCATCTGGGCGTGGCCCAGGCGCCAGAATAGAGATTTTCAGTGGAACTGAGCAGACTTGAACAAGCAAGACAGAACATAATACAGAGCAATTTGGACCAAGTTGATGTGCAAGTGACGAAATCCGACATCAAGGACCTAGTGAAGGACTTTGCAAGCATCATCCCCAAACGGTTGGAGAAGCCGAGCTTGGAAACTACGAGAGCTGGATACCTACAGTCACCATGCATACTGCCCAAGCTATGCTAAACCCTATCCCACTCCCACATCTGCTCTGCCCAAAACTACCAGACAGAACGGGGGGAGAGAACTTCATAGGAGGAGCGGGGCGGGTTTCGTCGCCTGTAAGAATATTAAAGAAAAGAAGAGAAGAACAGCAGAGCGAGTGTTGTAGTATATTTTATCTCGCAGATCCCGTTCGCTGCAAAGCAGGGTAAGAGCACCTTACTCCTGTACCAGAGCAGCTATAACGGGAGACGAGGATTGGTAAGGCAGTCGCCGTTCGCGTTAGAGGTCGCAACCGGGCTTTTCAAGCGCGGTAGGAAGCAGAGGTAACGTTAGAAGTGCTGTCCTCGATCGGAATTCTGGAAAGTCCTCTGGTTTGAGATCAAGCCGATATGACCAGGGGTCGGGCTGTCGCGCGCGGAGATAAGAAAAACGCTACCCAAAGAAAGACCTGAACTCCCAAGAGCGGCTTGAAGATCAACTTTGTGGCGATAAAGACAGGCACAGAGGGAAAGACCACGTGTTACAATGCGACGAAGGAGGGACTAACTGGCAAGAAGCAGGCAGTCAAAATTATCTAGACGATGACGGCCATGATAATGTCGATCTAGAGTTGTTTGTCAGTCAGTCTTTACTATATTCGATAACTATCGAGAGGCCAGGCTGATATCGTTTAGCGAGCACCAGGCCGGGAGGCTACAGAAGGTCCCATCAAAGGCTGCTTTTCGTTTATTGCTGAGTTGGTCGGGTTATATGTAGCTGCCGTGACTATGGCGGGCGAAACGGATAGGTATTGCTTTAAAGGGAGCGCGGCGATGGACGAATCTCTAGAGCTACCACCTACAAATTATTACGACGAAGGAAGGACAAATGTCCGATGCGCAAAAGAAAGGCTAGAGAATGTCCGCGATGGAACGAGAAAGGCGACGATACGATGCGAATGGAAGAAAGGAGAATGTGTCAGGGAGAACAATGCGCAACGTCCGTCGTCAATGGAGGGAGCAAAAGTCCCGAGTCGACGCGATCCGAATGGAAGATGAGAAAGGCGATGCAAAGGAGAAAAGTCCGTGGATGCAATCTGCAAAGAGTTGGTGAGTCACCTACATGCGATCGCTCGAGATTGCGGGCCATGCGGAGAATGTCGTGCATGGAACGATTGTGAGTCTTAACTCTAATGGACAATGCACGTGAAAATGCCATGCAGCGGGGTCAAATTGCGTATGGAAACGTTTCTGACAGCGGCATGGATTGCTTATCTCGATATCTTACCAGGACACCGAGCCGTCCCGAGACTTGGCGCATTTCCCCTGTAGATTACGCCCTTGATGCTGGGATCTGTGGGCGCCGTCATCACACCGGTTGTCGTGCCTCTGGAGCATGCGATTGCGGTAGTCAAGGCTTCGGCCACCGGCTCCAACACCAAAACCCCAGCATCTACAGAGCCTACCTAGCGGTGACGGCAGAGGACTACTCCCGGGTCTCCTAGAGGCAACGCTCTTAGGCTGAAGCCCAGTATCCGTCGCACGCTGTCAGAGTTCGAGACTATTTCTTTCGTCGGGCTCGGTCAAAATGACAGTTTTAGACTCTTTAGAATAGGCCTCTAGATACTATTTAAAAACTACTTTTTTTTTCTGCCGAGTGTGCTAGTAGAGAGGTATGGCTTGTAGAAACCTATATAGGGCTCACTCAACTCTACAGCATGGAGAGATTTAACAGGCCGCAATCAGGGTAGAGTCCTCGCCTGTAAAGAGGAGGCCCACTGCTGGGAGGAAGAGCCCACTACTGGGAGGAAGAAGTCCTCTATTGCAAAGAAAAACGTGCTCCAGAGGCCACGGGCTTCACGTACAGGCTGGCCGTCATTACTTGTGGCCAGGGGTAGGCCCCCGTCACCAAAGCCAAATGCAGAGCACTTACGCGAGTCTTCGACCGCCTCGCAGTCCTAGATTCGGGCCACGACGGGAAAGAAGCATACTGCAGACAGTGAGTTGGTCCCGGAGGCGTCCGCGAAGGTTACAAGGAGGGACCGGCCGGTTAAGGTGCCTTCTCGGTTGAAGGATTGAGTGGAGGGGGCTATGGCTGGATAGGGGTTGTTTTATAGAGTAACTGTTGTTTCAGAATGGCACTGATTTACGTGGATTCGCGCGTTATGGCTCTATTGATTGGAAAGAACAATACTGACTGAATTCCACCACACTGAACCCTAACCCTTGTGGGTCAATGAAAACCACTTGAGTTAAGTCATGCCTTGAGCCACTGTGTCAAGCTAGCGCGATGTAGGCTTTCGATGGCGACCACTCGAAGCCGGTAGTGCATCTCCGCAAACCTTCCCAGTTGGTGGAAGAGGTGTAACGCTTGCTCCTTCTCTGGAAGACCATAGATGCTTTTCCTAAGGCTCTGGCTGACCAAAATGTTGAAATACACAATCTTAGCCCTGGAGGCATGTCGACACCCCAGCGTAGTGCAGAATTTTCAGCGAGCGTGCTCTTGCCAGACTCGGAGAGCCAGGAAAATCCGTAGGCCGCCTGGAGCGGATGCAACATGGGTTTTAGATACAGGAGAGGAGAGAAGCCTTTATAGGCAGTGGGAGGTTTCCATGGCCTTCTACTAATACAATATTGGAATAGTATAGTTTGAAGCCTTGTAGGCTTGCGTAAGCTCTCTGTGAGCTTGAGGGCGCTGGAAGCTTCCAGGCTTCCTGTTACAATCTGGACAACAGGTCCACAGAGCTAGGCCGGCCTAGGATTGTGGGGGTCTGGACGGCAGGTAGGAGATGACAGGAGACAAGGAGTATCGTGCACAGATTGCGAAAGACAGGCTTTCAACACACAACCAATGTATGCTTAACCAGATGCATTGATAGCTGCAGAACCGTTCTCCAGAGAGAGCGTGCTGCCAGCTCCTATATAGAACTATGAGCAACCAATCAGAGTTCCTGCCTTACATGCTCAGTCGTGCTCAGTCCTAGACGCACTGATCCCCACTGAGCTCTCTGCTCAGTGCGCTCAGTGGGTCTCGGCACTGATCCTACTGAGCTCAGCCATGCTCAGTGCACCTTGGCAATGGCTCCACTGAGCACTCCCTAATAATTGGATGCACCTTCTCTTAGCGAGAGTCCCACCCTAAGTGCCGTTCCAGCCAATCCGCAGCGGGCGGGCAACGCCCTCTGCACCTTTGAACCAGGATCGTAACACTTCCAGTAGCTTCAGGGGCTGTATCTCAACACCTTGTTCTGTGTCACACGTTGATATTACAAACCACTCGACTGTTAGGGTCGTCTGTCTGTAAGGGAGCACGGGCTCCACAGAATGCTGGGGTTGGTAATTATGAAGATAGAACAAAGGGCAAGCTCCTATCGCACGGGTAATACAGTCAAATCGGAATGCCACTCAAAGTGTATGAGTGCAGCGAATGTGTATTGCTTGCTTGAAGAACCAAGCAAGAACTATCTAAGACCGTGGGCACGGTCATCGTATTTATTTAATTATGGCGGGCCAGTAAGAGCGCAG